GCTCACAACACAGGCTTTCCAACCAATCATACACGTAATTTCGTCACTTCAGGTTATTTGATAGTATGCATTAAAGTGGACCAATTTTTTCCGTGTGCGTAGCGCCATGAGACTAAACTGTTTAACTCACGACCTAATGAAGAAGTCACACTACAGTCTTCGACCAGTCATTTAAATTTCATTAGGAACTGCAAAGGTTCTTTGAAGATGGTGCACCATTTCCCATGTAACCCGAAAATACACAGTTTGTGAGTTGTACGTTTGAGGAACCTGGTATTTGTAGCTGGTGAATCTAATCGAATCTTTGTGTGGCGAATCGGTTGTCTAGAACTGCTGCCAAAGCCTCAGATACTACCTTTGCAACAGCATCTTCGTCACTCAATCGGACAAACAACACTTGTTGGTAGTCTACGTAACCGCTGTGGGGATGAATAATCTAAAATCCCCAGGTAAAGTCGAAAACCTTTTTCTTGTCCTATGTCAGTCTTTGTTTTTATTCTACCGGGCAAGCACTCTGTTCCTATTTCTTATCGTTACCCAATTATTAATGATAGCTGGTCATGTAGCAGCCGAATGTAGTCCTGAAAGGAACAATAATACACCATTCGTGGTGGTGATCAGGGTTTAAGATAGGGGAGTGTGTAACCTGCCGAGATTAGCACGCTTAGACCCCAAGCACTTATCCTTTGGTCTGATAAAATGTCTACGTCACCAAGTGGACGCAGTACCACGCGATGACTGACAGGTCTGTGGTTCTATTATTTGTAACATCGAGTCAGCGTATGAATGCAGTTTCTGCAGGCTGTGGGTACACTACCATCGCCAATAGCTGCGATACTCTCAGTGGTTTCAAAAGCACTGGAAGCCTTGAGAGGTGATTACGTCTGGCAGCGCCTCTACAGGGTAGACATACACCATGAGGCAAAACACAGTTTCAGAAGAGGTAGATCTTGTGTGACAAATCTGTTACCTGGCTGGAGTGACTAGATATCTTGCCGTGAAATGAATGTTACAATTTGTGTGGTCTCCCTCAAATTCACGGAGGCACTTGACACAGTTTGGCATGACATCCTCCCACGTAAAATAAGTCAGGAGGGTGTTAGTCGCCCACTTCTCTCATGGTTGGAGGATTATCTACACCAAAGAGAATTCTGTGCCTAGCCCAATCGTGTCCGCCCATCTGGGCACAGTTTAGCATCGAAGACATTACAGGGCCTATCCTAAGGCCACTGATGTTTCTGATTATTATAAGTCAGTCCTAAGTTTTCCAAGGTTGTATAGAACGCGTGTAAGACCACACCTTGAAGTGTCAAATATCACTGCCCCTTCGTTACCCAGAAGGGAGTCAAGTCTTTTGGAATGGGTTTAAAGAGGGTTAACAGAGAGCTGGTAGGTCTCCTAGGTGAACTATTCTAACGGCTGAAGAAACTATGTCTTTTCACACCAAGACAACTTCAACTTAGAGGTGACTTAGTTACTGCCTATAAGATTGCAGATGACCAGAATCACCCAAACAAAGGTATTTTACCGTTATGTACTTATGGGCTTCCACTAAGGTTGGCCCATCAGAAGGCAAGGATTTGACTAGGTTCACATTTCTTCTCACTCCGCATTTGCCGCATATGGAACCCTTTACCAGAACCCATAGAAACTGCATCATCCATGAAAAGCTGTAAGCGGAGGCTGGAAGATCATGTGACGATACAAAGACTGAGTCTAAACGGTCTATCCCTTAAAATTCACACACCGCTAGTGTGTATATTCTTAATTTTTTATTTTACTACAGTCCATTCTCTCTTGTCTTACTGTTCTAACTCATCTGTCTATTTATTCACTCATTTTAATATACATACATACTGATTTCCAATTTCATTATCTGTTTGATTGTACGTTTTCTATTTTCCGAGTCCACACAATCTACACTAATCACACTTATCATTACTATCTCTCCCTCTGACCCCACCAGATGACTGACGGGTGGAAGGATCAATTCCACTCACAGTGGCGAAACGGTTTCAACACGCAGCATACTGCCCTTGGAGTCAGCCAAAGCCACGACAGTCGAGTGGCAGGACGAACAGATTTCAGATTCAGATTTATTGGTTGAGGATAGGAGGCTTGTAGTCTCTGCTAATCATTTTCTAGTAAATTTCTGTGGTTGTCCGAAAGCTTCCTGAATAAATCAACTGACGTTGCAGACACAACTTCCTCTAGGAGTTGGTTCCAAGAGTTTATGACTCCGTGCGAGGACCAGTACTAATCAGCAATATGATTTCTTCTTGGCTTTTGAATTCCCTGCTATGCCCTCTAAGGTGTTCGGACCTGGTAGGAAGGAAAAGAAAGAATAGGTCAGGCCCGTAGTCATTATTTAAAATTTCAAACATTGTAATTAAGTCTCCTCTCTGCCCACGGTATGATAGGAAGAAGAGATTCAAACTGTCTAGTCTTTCCTCATATGATAAGTTAGCCATGTCGAGAATAATACATGTTGCCTTCCTTTGAATCCTTTCTATAATATGTGAGTCACCTTTAGACAAGGACTGGCTGTCTGGATAAAGTTTTCCGGTCTTGACCTCACCAGAAATGTATACCAGGAGGTGAACATATCTTTGGTGATTCTAGTAAAGTCTGTGTGAATCGCTTGTAAGGATCTGAAACTACGTGTAGCCAACGTGCAATAGCGTGCTGTAGTTTTTAAGACTTGACTTACTACGACACCTAAATCCAAATGAGTTCGAAATGATGGGAGTGTTATTCCATCTAGTTCGCGGGAACTGATCCTTGCGTGTCCAATGCGCATGGTTGCGCATTTTGCTACATTGATAGGGAGCATCCATTCTCTGGACCACTCTGACTACTTGTCGAGGTCCTCTTGCAACGTGGGCGTATCACTGTCGCCCTTCAGCTCTCTGTAGATTTTTAGGTCATCTTTATGTAGGACCATAGGAGAATTGGTTAGCAAAGATAACTCATCTACATGCAAAACAAATGGGAGAGGTTCGAGTACAGTGCCCTGTGGCACTCCGCTAAGCACTGCTGTTCAGAATAAGAGTTTTGAGTTGATTGTGACCCTCTGCTTCCTATCTATGAAGAATTCCTTAATGCAGATTAGTAAGTTGCCTTTGACGCCAAGACCTCCCAACTTCCTGAGTAGTCCTTTGTGAGGCAATTTATCGAAGGGTTCACTGAAGTCTGTGAAGACGACTTCGATGGGTCTTCTGTTGTCCCCTGATTTGACCCGGCTTTCTCTTGCGGTGAGAAGATTTGACAGGTGTGAGAGATTTCCTCGGAAGCCACGCTGTACTGCAGATAGGAAATTGTTGTTTTCCAGATATGCCATGATACTTTTCTTGATGATTCTTTCCAGTGCCTTGATTAAATTGCTGGTGAGACTTATAGGCCTGTAGTTTGAAGGGCTTTGAATCGATCCTCCTTTGTGTATGGGGGTTACTATTGCTTGAAGATCGTGGTCAGTGGGGAGGCTACGTGAGCTGATAGCACCTTGAGAAGCCTTGTATGAATACCATCAGGACCCATTGATTTACCTGTGTGGGCCTAATGACATGTTAGACTAAGGCTAGCGAAATGCTACATTCCAGCAGTTTATGATCAGAGTTGTTGTCTGAAGATGGTGTTATTAAGCTTGTGCAGTCAACTGTTGGGGCATTGAAGTCGCCGACTACGAGACTCCGACATTTCGATGTCCAGGAGCCTAGCATCTCTATTAAGAAGTCATCTGCACTGCAGTCAGGACTGCGGTATATAGCAGTGAGATCAATATCTTAGCCAACGCGTTTAATTCTGCAGCGTAGAAGTTCGCACGATTCACTTCCGTGAAGGAGTGCTTCGATGCCACACACGCTTAAGCATTTCTTGAGGTAGATGACTACGCCACCTCCTTTGTTGCTTAGTCGGTCCACCCTATGCGCTTTGAAGTTTGGCAGGTTAACTCCGTCATCAGTGATATCGGGTGTGAGCAATGCCTGTGTGATGGTAGTTACATCCGGATTTCCGGAGTCAATCATATTACTCAGTTAAGTCCATTTGTTCAACAGCCTGCGGGGGTCTGCGTAGCAAACTATCAATTCAGTTTGGTGCTCCAGCGGCCTACCCGCAGGGGTTTCGGGATCATCAAACTTCGAAGTTTGACAACTCGAAAGCCTTTAATCTTAATGTTTTCACTGTTTCAGCGTCGTTCACTTAATTCTAGGGCCTTAGACTGCCTTTTGTCCCGGTGCGCTAGGTATAAGTCTGCACGAACATGTTGCCTGATCCTTTAAGAGTTTGGGAGTTTCTTAGAATGGCATCCCTCTCTTCTTTGGAGTTGAGTACGACTTTGAGAAGGCGTGCTGGCTGATTCACTGTCGATCCAGGCTTTCGGTCAATTCCATATAATGTGTATGGTTATGCCTGATACTGTTGTTGGCAGTAACTTATCTAAAAGGGGCTTGATCAAGCTAAGGTTATGCTCGAACCTGATCTCCACTTTGTGGAGAATGAGAGACCTATCAGATAGATCAGGTTTGCTTGCCGTGTCTTTCTTCCTCTGCAGCGCAGGTTTCTTTCCGTCCCTCGTGGACAGTGTGGTTGTTATGGTGTCCTATTCTCGCTTATTGCTGGAAACTACATTACGCCATTCATTGGCATCCCTCTCGCTGACCGTATTCGATCGCGTCTGTCTGCTGTCCACCGGTGTGGTTGAAGCTTGATCCACAAGTTTCTGGGAGACTCTAGCTGAAGGTTTCTGACCCCTAGTACTCCTCTTCTTTTTACCAGTCTTTCTATTACCGTCACTAGAGGGCTAATCCGGTGTCGCAGAGGCAGTATGGGCGTCTAGAATGCGATAGGTGCTCTTCTGTGCTGAAGGGCACTCACTCCCTGACAGCGAGCACAGAGAAATCAATTTAGTTTACACTAGCTTGTAAAAATGATATTGGATATTGAAAGTTAGGATTTCGTGATAGGTTTTGTTTAGTCCTGTGAATGCAACATACCTGGCACGCGCAATTTAGTAGCTTGCGTTCTACCCCTGTGGTTTGATGCAAAATGTTGCGGGACGTGGTGATTACGAAGCTCTTCTTACCAGAGAGACGAGGGAACCTCTTATTGACAAACATAAAACAGGAGCCAACTTCGGAAGGCTCCCCCTCGCAAAGCTTATCCGTTCCAGTAAGTTTTTGGTATGCATTATGCTTTTACGAGTTTGACCACGGATTGATATCAGTTAGAGAACCATTGTAAACTAGCCGCGAGTACTGGACAGCTGCTTCATCCTACTCTGGGAATCATTGGCAGTACGCACCCACTGCCAGGGTTTGAACCTTCCGGTTACAAGACAAGCTCGTATACCACTCAGCCATTGGGACTCGACTCAACGGCCAGTGCATAAATTCTAAATTCTACCAATTTGTGATTTAGCGCGACCACCAACCAATGCCATCGGTGGGAAATCCATCCTCACACTTGAATGGTTGAACCCCACTGGTCATGACTTCTCACTCTAGGAAACTCCGTCCTGAGACAATTCACTAGCGAGCATCAGATTAATTTTCAAGAGTTGGTTTGTAAATATTAGATTTGTTTTTACGAGTTTTACGACGGATTGATACCAGTTTAATCCTTACAAACTAACTCTTGAATATATACTGTACTGTTTTAGACTAAGTATGCTTTTAGTTACCCAATCCATTTCTTTGATTTTGTACAGCTTGAATTAAGTATCGAAAATAGGACTTGTATTTACACTGGTCTTGCTAAAATTCCCCTAACAAATGCCTGTTTTGTAATCCGTGCGGACTACTGAATAATTGTAGTAGTATTGTGAAATTCTAGCATCCTATGACGTAAATACGTGAGAATTCAGCTTCATGAAAGTCTTTAAGCAATCCTAGAACAAAAGATACAATTTGATTTGATTGTAACACATCTAATTGGGTGTCGAACGTCATGTGTTGGGGTAGCCGCTATGATTTAACTGCATCGGTTGATATTTGTATAAATGGTTTACACCATGTTCACATCGTAGAATAATCTCAGTATTATACAGAAATGCTATACACTTCCCTGCCCTTCACTTCTTTCACGCCACCTATTCGTGTCATCACAGTCACTTCCTGCTACGTGTGCTTTCCAGTGGTGGTATTAAGACAGTTATTATTGATTGCACAGTTCAGCGAAACAGTTGACTACATATAAATAATGTGGTTTCAGGGAAGACGGTAGGGATTAAGTTCGTCGTTTGCATATAAGTAGCATGTAGTATTAGAATTGTCTTTAGGGACAAAGAATGGTAGGTTTACTTTTGCAGGAAAGCTAATTTTGTGATGTTTATATGACCTTTATAGACGTGAATCTTGAAAGTAATACATCCAGTCACTTGTTTACTGTTGTGATACATATTTGTAAGCATCTCAGCTCAATCATGACCCTGGGTATCTGGTTGAACGTATGTTTACAATTCATTTCGTAGCAAGGGAAATGGGTTGTGTCATCAGGGATCAGGTAGAACATCCATTGGGAGGCTAATATCTACGTTTAGTCACTGAGCGATCTGCGGAAGTGTTCTTGTTCAGCACCACAACAGTGAGTCCCTGAAGACTCCTTTATTAAATAAACATAAACCCAAACGGAACCTTGTTATGTGATAGTACTGATACTGATGTTAGTCCAGAGTTAAAGAATAGAGAATCGATTATAGAATCTTGAACAGACTTTTAGTGTGGTTTGCTATTCATTTATTCAATATGAGTTCCACCATTATTCTTCACCTCGAAGGTAAAATTTGTTCTCAAGTCGTTTTGGAGTGGATACTATGGTATATTTTATATTAATTCCGCATAGTTTTTGTGTATCCCGTGTACGAAATATCCACAGTTGTACATAAGCACTATTTTTGTAGGTTACAGAAATTTCTGAGCCTACTCAATCTAATAGTCAAACTCGACTTACAAGATCGCAAAGCGTCACCTGTCCACCACCTTACTTTACTTCATCTGAACATATAACCCTCCCAGGGAATACTTTCTACACTTGGTCAAGAGTCTCTCAGCAACCGATTTCTAGGACGCTTAGTGGGCATGTGAACGAGTCCAATGGACTTGTTACAGGAAGTTCTCTACCTGCTGTAACCAGTGTCAATGATTCCACTCCCCTCATCGTACCCAGTACAATTCCTCCACGTACACCCCATGATGTAAGTGCTTTTCCATGTCTTTTAGTGCCGTTTTGTCTAAAAAAAATTCGTAATGTTATGACATTAATAAAGAGTTAGATCAGTAATTATATAGTGTCTTTATTATCACTTCACTTTTAATGCGTCACAAAAGTGTTCTTGAGATGATACCAGTTTTTACCCAGTTTGGGTTTATCCGGAAGTCATTTGAATGTTACTGATGCTGGAAACAATGGATACATTTTTATCCGTTTATTTGGATTCATTATAATTGGTTAAACTCTTGACTCACTTGTGCAATAATTCATAACAAACCATCTGCTTCTATTTTGCAAGAGTTTGACTGACTACCACCAGTTAGAGTACCAGGGGGTTACTGAACAGCCCACTACTGACTGGCTACAGGATAGAGTTACCTGGTGTTTTGGTGAAATGTCGTGACCAATGAGTTGGATTCAGGGGCGAAGCTCGCTGACAAGACTGGTGGGTGGTAGCGCTTTCCGTCGCGAATTGGCAGAATTCATGATCCATAGGATTCTGTCCCGGTGGCCGAATGATGAATGGACTCGTTTCGCAAATTAAAGCCCCAGAGTTCAATCCCTGATGGAGTAGTAGTAAGTGGGTGTGCTGTTGAAGAGTCTCAAATTAGGACAAAAGAGCTGTCCAGTACTTCCTGGTGTTGTTTCTTTGATTAATGTCAGTTTGTGATCATCTCTTACGGTGTATACTCACATATAAGCAACAAAATTGTAAGTCTAAGGTATGAAACCGTAGAATACATAAATATAACCTGTATCACAGTAAGTGTATTCCTAATAAAATAATCTGAAGTATGCAGCAAGTAGGTTTGACTCTGATTACCGTGTCGCCTACTTTTCCGTACATAATTTAGAACAGGATTGAGAGATAGCAACAGCTGCCTCCCATAAAATCTTTTTAAGAGCCAGCTTCCTTGGTTAACATAGTCCTAGTGGCAGGTATTAATTGAGCCCATGCAAGGTATGATGTGGTCATCTAAACTGTAGTGATTTAATGATTTCAGTTGATGACTTGTAGTTGTTATCAATGTGACACTTCAGGCATAACGGTGATCAATTACCTGATGCCTTGTGTACCGATATTTCCCAATTGCAATACTTTAACAACAGTAGGTAGAATATGCCTCGTCTGCAGTGTACATTAAGTGCTTTGAGTTGTTTTAACCCTGACTTTTCTTTACAAGTAACTAGTGTTTTCCCGTCAATTATTAGGTTCAAAGTTTGAGCATTATTTCTTGCATACTTTTATCAAAGTATTGCTTAATAATAAATTGTATGGACTTGTATTTTGATTTAATTTAAATTTTTATCCCTTTACGTTCCCAGTGGGACAAGGGACTTCAAGCTAGATGCTTGAATTACAGATAAAGAATAAACAGTGAGCAAAAAAGCCAACAAATATATTCACACGTAGGTCAGCTAGTACGTAATAATGGCCAATAATAGTCAGCGTTATTTTAAAAGGGACGGAGTGAATACCACTCCCCATATCACTTCCATCCATCTTAGCTCTCTTAAGACTAATTAAGGTATCCAAAGTAGTTCGTATAGATATATATATATATATATTTAGATGCTCGGATTGTGTGTTTCATATCATGATTGAAGTTCTTTCAAAACCATCATTGATCTGCATTGTTTACTTTATATTTTACGTCAGGATCAGTGTTCATCAAGTAACATGATTCATAATACAGCTTCCGCAGACGCACGCCTACATATGGTGACAGGTGGTGAGTGTGTTAATTCGTTACCATTTCGTAATGACACACTCTCTGGTTCTTCTATATCTGGTGTCACTCTTCCTCTAACAACGCAATCTTCTGGACCTAGCACTTATGATGCATTTAATCATCGCCCAGTTCATTCATCTGTTCCTCGTCCCACACCACTATCAAAACGATGCACCCAACCAGCAACCAGTGTATCACTGAATTCACAGCCACCAATGGTAAACACTTGTTCCCAACATTTAGGAAGTAATACGCGAAATCCAGTCGTATCTATAGGCGATCCAAACAGAGTAAGTATCGAGAATGATTATCAGAATGGTAATTTCAATTTACAAATATCTTCTGCATTTAAGCTGTTATTTTCATCGTCTTATATACACGTGAATGTAACAGACCAAACACTTGTTTTACACGTTAATAATGTTCGTTATGTTTGGGTCTTTGTTGATGACAGACAACTGTTGTTTGCATATATTTCTATCGTGTAACTAGGTATCTTTGTATTTTGGTAACCGATAAAGTTTCAAGGCAGGTTACCTGTGTTGTAACAATTACAGTAAGGTTCAAACTTACTTTGTGTCGCGTTAGTACATGACTTTGAGAACTAGTATAATATCTGTAGGCAAATTAAATCCTACAGTGGTCACTTTTACCAGTTTTATTGCTGATTATTAATTCTTGAAAAAAGTTGCATTGCAGCAACCCAGTGTGGATTTATGCACCTAACAATGAGCCACACCAGCGTGTACATGTGTGTGTACTGATTCCAAGGGATTGTTTGATGTCCCATTTAAGTAAAAAAAACAACCGTAGTTCGAAGATGCACTTCGCTAGTGGAGATCCAATCACCCAGACCTATGAATCATTTCACATTTGGTTTTCCAATGATTATTATTCCATCAGTGGTCTCAACTACTAGTGTAGTGAAACACGGTTACCTGATCTCTCCTCATTTCTTTTTAAATTTGCCATCAGTCACATTCTGGAGTCGGTCGACTCTGAAAGATGTGCGTGGTGGTGGTGGTTGTATGGATCTGCTAACCGAAAAAAGATTTGTCAACTTCGAGTTTGCAAACGACATCGTCTAACTGTGCAATAACATGCAGGCTGCGCAAATCGTACTTAATCAATTGGTGGTGAATGCTTAAAAGTGTGGTATGTGCGAATTATTGTTACAGCACTGGGGGGAACCTGTACCTGCATTCACCCTTACAAGTGAACTGTTAAGAGTAATCTATAAGTTCATGTATCTCTAGATGGTTGTTTTAGTAACCATCACATGTCGGGATTACAATGCGTCGGTGCGCACAGCCTTGTCCTACACCTGTAAAATTTAGCCTCCGAGCTGAGGATCAGTGGCGACTCTCTGTGCATTGGATCGCCAATGCCTTTGCAGATTGGTTTGCATCCAGGAGTGTTATCATCCACAACTCAGCAGTGGATTCTAGACTTCGTGAGAACATCGCTTATTGATAAGCAGATATATCCAGCTGGTTAAGGAAAGTATTATACAGTCCTTTCTGTGTTTTTATAAAGCTACTGAATATCTTATCATATATGTACATCTCAAAATTCATATTCCTCTTTATTTTAAACAGTTGGCAACCTCTTCAGCTGCCAATAGGATTGATGAAGAAATTATGAATCCTGCTTCCACGGATGATAATCTCCTATGGGGTCGTATCGCTCGAAACTCATCAGGAGATTTAAGATTTCCCGGCATCAATCGCACTTTTAAAAGTGCTTATTCAGTCTTGAGGCAAATTTATCAATCGGCTATGGCTCAAGACAGTTTGACTTTACAGGTAGGTTTTTCATAGTTTATATTGATTGATTTGTTAATATGAGTAGTAAATATTTTCAGCCAAGTCATCACTAGTCTATTCTGTACTCTCTCTCCTCTCTGTTCAGACAGTGACCGTAAGCTGACGAATAGTTCCTAACTACCACATTGTATCTTTTACTTCAATAGGTATATAGTCTGAAAATTATCAACCTTGATTTCCAGTGATTCGTTAAGTAATGCGGATTATTGTGATGAAATCTCCGCCAATATTAATCAGAGATCTGCTATTATTATTATTATTGTTCCTTGAGTTCCGAGTGGAATATAGGGTTTAAACAACACATCTCCACTTTGTCCTATCTTCTGCCGTCCTCTTCTGCTTCGACCATGATTACCCACAATCTCTCATCTGCTCCTCTTACTCACATGATCTCCTCCATGTCACCCTAGCAATGACGATCCGCTCATCGCTTCCCTTTCGGGTGCCACTTGAGCAATGGCCTGCATTGTGCGCGACCTCATTTGACTGTCTCCTCAACTCATTTATGCCCAATCCATCTCAATTTCTCCTACATATTTGTTGAGCAAGCGGTTGTTCATTGGTTTTTTCCCAGCCATAATTTCTTGTTGCTAATTCTTCCTGGCCATTTGATCTTTAGTATGGAGTCAGCCAGCCAGCGAAGTGGGCAGCTGTTGATGAAAGTCTGAAACAGGCTGTTGGAAATCCTTTTCGTGACTACTCACGTGCAATGCAAGTTTCTGACCCATATAGAAGAATTGACTGACTGACTGACTGACTTCAGATTTGTGTTGAATAGAATGCGAATGTTGTTGTTTATGCTGCTGAGTGAGTGCAGAATATTTGCAAACTGGTTTCAGATTGATAAAGGTGTATCTTGCCTTTCTGATTCTGGCCTGCTTTGACATCTTCACCCGTTCCGAATGGCTGTAGTGGAAACGACGCTGGCTGCCTAGGTAAGGGAAGGAGACAACCTCAGTCAAATCTCTCCCGTTGATGGTGATTAGTGCTGTTTGTTGTTGCTGTGACGGTTGGTTGGTTGGTTGGTTATCTTCATCACCTCCGTCTCTATTCTATCTTCTCTATGTTCACATGGAGTCGTGTGTTCGCTGTCTGTCTCACCTCTTGGGGAAGTTTGTTGGTTTTCGCCTACCTGTCTGCCTGTAAGTCTTCGAGTCCGTATGACATTCGACATATGTTATCGATGCGTGAAATCCAGATGTTCTAGAGTCTTCTTATCGGTAGTCCATCGTATTCATGTCTTCTCACTCCCCACATCCAGTGTGATGCATAATCCAGTCCACCACAATTAAAAATATCATCGGTGATAATAGGCAGCCAGCATGGCTTTATTGAAGGTGAACTGTCCCAATAATGCCTCAAGTGATAAATGGCTGTGTACTTCTGTGGCTGACTGACTGACTGACTTGAGAAGAGAATGAACAGTCTGAGTATGGAGATGGGATAGGATGGGATTGGGTGTCTAGATGATTGAAGAGATAATTTCTTAGTGAGGATTTGGATGAGAGTTTAGCTTGTTGTAGGGCTTCATAGTGTTTCTGGCGCTGTTGTTGTTGTAGTAGTAACTGAATTTTGTGAAATTTGAGGTAGATAAGTAGGTAGGTGATTGAACCCTTGTAAAATTGACATGACTGGATATATAACTGAATTAATTGTACTGGAATTTGTGATTGTTTCCACTGAACTGAATAACGCTGTCGCCAAAGTTTTTTTGGACAAAGTATCAGTGCAGTTGTGGTTCGTCTAACTTCAGTTAAATGCGTCTCCAGACACAACAGTTTTTTTTATCAATATTATAATTATAATTATCACTGTTATTGTTATTTTCAGTTACCGGCATCCGCGATTCAATGTGAAAATGAGGCAAATATTCGTTCAGAAAACTCACTACCAAATTCGCTACTTAATTCAACTTCAAGAAAAGTGAGTGAATAAAATAATTCTGGGCGTTCCATTGTTTTTCCCTTGAAAAGAATTGACTAATCTGATGGCGAAACGTCCGTGATTAAATGTGTGATCTTAGAAAACACACCAGTGAGGAGGATGTAGTTGACTAACCTGAGCAATTGACTTCCAACCAATTGGGTGCCAGGCTCGACTCCTGTTCCACGGTTATCATTAGCCCTGTCACACACGATAAGTGTATCTCTTAGTGTGTTGCACAACAATAATAATAATAAGAATCGAGAAACCATTCCGTTTGCAAGCTAGAAATCTCCACTTTTCGAAAATATGTACTATACCGTTAAATGCTAGGATTGCACAGTATTCTGACCAGCTTCCAAAATTAGTGTTGCGCCCCACTAGTTTACTTAATTTCGCGCAGTCCACATGGTTTCTTTGGCGTTTAAATTTAGTATTTTTTTGTGTGTGTTCTGTATCACTTCATTCCCCCAAAAATAGAAAAAGTGTCAGGATTTTCTTGATTTTGAAAAATAAAACAACTCCATCACAGGTTGAGATCAATTGGAGAAAACCATTGAAAATGAGAGATAATGTTGACTGTCTCCTCCCCCTCTCTGTCGTAACTTCAAGCTCCTGTTTAGTTTGATTCGTGGTGGGATCATGTGTATACAGTAATGCAGAGTTGATTATATTACAAACTAGAATGTGAAAAACACCTGTCCTAGTAGTGTTCTCTTGCTTTCTCAGCTCTTGTCTAACTTGTGCCAGTGCAGGATATTTATTCTGTGGAAAATACCCGATGGGAACACTAGAGAGGCAGAGAGAATAAAACATGAGCTCAGAAAAGGGTATCTTTTCGTCAATTTTATCTTCAAAACAGTTGTACGTTTGCACTTACAAATATATAAGTTCGCAGTGTTCGCAATCATTATTATTATTATTTTTAATTCAACATAGTAACGCAGGTGACATTGAAGAAAGTAATAATATTCAACTTGATATGAAAGTTTGAAGGTGTGAATATGGATTACAAGGGGGGGGGCGTAGAAACAAAATTACATGGGATTGCAAAGTGGTTGTGTAGTATGTAAAATAGTTTTATGAACGAAGACAGATGGGAATAAGATGAGCATGAAAACAAAGTGAAACAATAGCGAGCTCGTAGACCATTAGGCCACTGGGATCAGCCCGATCCAATGGCCCATGAATTCTAAATTCTGCCAATTCACGATATAGCGCAACCGCTAGCCATTGGATCGGGTCCCAGTGGCTTAATGGTCTATGAGCTCGCCTTGTAATCAGAAGGTCCTAGGTTCAAACCCTGGTCTGTGCGTGCTGCTGAAGAGTCACAAACTAGAACGAAACAAGTGTACAGTACTCCCAGGTTTTCCAATAGTTCTCTAACCAATGGTCAGCTCATGATGAAATCCTGTAACTATTCAACTATTTTTAATCCAATGTAATTTTTGTTCCCATGCTATTTCTACTCTGACTGACTGACTGATTGGTTTCAACATGGTTTCAACCTTGAACAGCTGTGCAGCAGTTCGAGTTGCCACAGTCCCTCCATGTAGCACACAAAGCAAGACAAAAGACCACAGAGAGGTTCAAAAGAGAGACAGAGATAATAAACATAAGTATAAAATGATATCATCATTCTATTTCACAGGTTCTCATCAACTGCTGCAAACTACCTGAAATTACAATGGTTATAAATAATAACATTTCATACTTCAATGTTTGAAAGGTAATAGAGAAAACATAATAAGGTGAACGCATCCGGAATTTGAGTGTTACAATTTATAGTTTAAGTTATCATCAATTTATATACAATTAAACTATGAAGAAAAAAAATGAAAAAAGGGGGGAGGGAGAGAGAAAACAGAAGAATCTAATAAACAGTGTCAGTGTGGCAACTCAAGAAGGTTGAAGTTCATCATTTTGAAAACTTGCTTAGTGAGTTGAGCCCACTAGTGTGTATAACTAGTCAGGGTAGTCAAAGTGATATGGTTACCAAGGTAGTGAGAGATTGTGACTACACTCTGTGTGGTAACCTCCAAAGCCTCAGGATGGTCGGGGGGGGGTGCCTTGCGATGCGGGTTGGCCACCCCTCCGCACACCTCTTGAAATGCTCCCATATGACCGGGCGTCTTACATGGCCTCTCCTGAGGAAGTCCTACTCACTGCCTTCACGTGGCGGAGGTGTTTTTCACCAAAGTGAGAGGGCGAAAGCGGATGCCCGGCGCTCTTCACTGGGTTGACTGTCCATTGGATTACAGTCTAGGGGAGATGGCTAAGCCCTGATTCCAAACCTCCAACGACTGGCGTATGGAGCTCACCGGTAGACGTATGGACAAAGGGCTTGTTGGATGTCTGGCCCCATTCAAAATGGCGTATGAACCGAACTCCGGTCACCGGCTGCCAATGGATAGTGGACTCCCTACTCCACTCTTACTGCCTTGTAGGTCACAATTGTTTGTGTAAAGGCTAGAGCTGCACTCTCAAACAAAAGGCCGAGCGATTCTGGGGACATCACTCGTACCAAATTCCCATGAAACTTCATGAACTCTCTTCATCAGATCGCCGCGCCTGGGCAGCGATGATTCGAGATGTACATGAAGCCGGCTCATCCTCCCGTAGGAGATAGCCGAAGTAAAGTAAGTAAGTAGATATATAAAGAGTGATTTGTTCAATGAAAAATATCCCTTGGCGTCCGCGTCTTGCCTTCTGTTGTTACTGTAGTAGTATTACTCTAGCCCCAGGGTGGGATCGTGAATACGTGAACACCTTGAGCAGCAATCTTCGTATGTTTGGCGTGCGATTCGCCCCTGTAAAATGTAAGATGCTGCTACAGGACTGGCCTACGTCAACTCCTAGCTTAGTGATAGGGAGTGAAGTGATAGAACATGTTGACCACTTCATCTATTTGGGAAGTTGTATCAGCACCAACGGATTCATTGGTGACGACATCTCAGCACGGATCCAAAAAGCTCGAGCTGCTTTCGCTAACTTACGCCATCTCTGGCGTAGGCGTGACATCCGGCTATCAACCAAGGGACGTGTGTACTGCTGAGCAGTTCGCCCCGTCCTTCTCTATGGCTCTGAAACATGGTCAATACGAGTTGAAGACATGAAAAGGTTGACTGTTTTTGATCTACGTTTGTGTGCTCTTTGGAACGTGGCAACTCGAACTGCTGCACTTCGGTGCCAAGTTCTATGTTGAATCCAGACAGACAGTGAATACGTGACTAGTCATGCAGCAAAGTGACGACATCCCAGTTGTAAGTAGTCATAGTGGTGTGGGAAGTTGAATGAAGTAGTGTTATTATTATTATTATTAATATTATTTTAAGTATTAGTTATTATTAATATTAGTGTTTCTCCATTTTCACAGGGTTTTTATATTTGCCTGTGTTGCCGATCAACATTTACAAGCAGTGCTTTGTATGAAGACCACCTGGATCGTACCGTTGCTCGAATATTGTATCGTTGTCATCTCTGTCGTGCTTCTTGGATAACAACTTCACGTGAGGCGGTCAGTATCGCTGATGTAAATACAAGTCATCATCATCGTCCGGAGGACAACAGTAGAAATTCTTCTGAATCAACTAGCAGTTCTGTTGTCGCTGCTGGTAGTTCGCATGAAGTCACGCTTGCCATGATCCCGACTACTACTACTAACAACAACAACAACAGTAATAATCATGAAAGCGAAATCTCTTCACGATTTTATTCTGTTCTACCGGGTGGAATTATCAGCGCTAATAATAAATGCGCCATATTTACTCATTTGACATCTGTACACCCGGATAAAAGAAGCGATTGGATTCTAAGACCATCGCTTCTTACAATTTGTCCGTTGGTTACGCCAGCCACATATTTAAATTTAGCAGCACTGACCGCCTCCACTACTACTTCTACTACTACTGATACACAACCTTCTGATGCAGGGAGTGAGTTGACTCATTTGTTGTTTGTTTTCCCTTTATGTGTGCTGTAACTTAATGCTATGTATGTTTCTGTATTTTTGTTGTTGTGTCCTATGATAGTTATAATGTGTATGCATATGCATGCGTGTGCGTGCGTGCGTGCGTGCGTGTGTCTGTCTGTCTGTCTAAAAAGGTGTTCACAATGTTTTGCATAGATGGACTCATGTGCTATGTAACGAATATCTATATAGGCTGCAGGCGGTGGCATTGAGTCTGATTAACAAGTGCTTCTGGAGGGCTTCGTGTGCGTGTTTACCACTACACTTATTTGGGAAGCTGTAGCAGCCAATGTTGTCAGCGGGTTGATCGCTGACGAAATCACGGCACGGATACAGAAGGCTCGTTTCGCATATGCTGACCTACGTTATCTCTGGCGTAGACGTGATTTCCGGTTGGCTATCGATCAAAGAACATGTGTACTGCTCAGCATCCATTGAAATTGGAAGACATGAAAATTCTGGCTAACTGTCTCTGATTATAAGTGTCTGCTTTCTGTCTCCCATGTTAGGTGGAATAATAGAGTGAGCAATATTGAGGTCAGGCATCGGTCGAGTGCTGTGTAAGTCAGAGGGAAAATCAGTCGACGAGGTTGTGAAGTTACATCGATTGAGAGAGATGGTTAGGAGGAGGACATGTGTTACGCATGCCTAACCTAGCCATTCACTGCATTCCTCGATAATGGGTAATGTTAGCGGGCATAGAATGGATCAGGTTGGAGAATAGCTAGCATATGGTGACCAAACCAAAACACGGCTCCATCAGTCAATGAAGTCCACAACAGTTAGTTTAGGTCAGCCAGTCAGTCAGCCGGCCACGTTGTAGGGAGGTGTAGAGTGCGTGTTTGTGGTCTTCGGGATGGTGAGAATCAGTGACTGGAGACAATTAGTGATATGGCTCACAATCGTCCTCGGTGATGGCTGGTGCAGATGCATTCACTCTTTGTGATTTATCGTAAGCAGTGAAATTCTATTGTCCTTTCATATTACTAATCTTTTCCGCTCACTGACACTTCTGTTCATTATCTCTGTCTCTCTTTTGAACCTCCCTGTGGTCTTTTGTGTTGCTTTGTGGAGTGTGACAACTCGTACTGCTCCAGCTGTGCAAGGTTCTATGTTAAATCGAGTCACTCATTAATAAGTAGTCGGTGAGATTGTGTATTTCAACTAAAAGTAATTCACACAATTCTTTTCTTTAATAAACTTGAACAAAGCATGAATGACATATGTACCACCGGGATACTATGGACTTATCTCTTATTATTTTGGGGATTCTTCTCACACCGCTGGCTGCAATCTGAAGAAACCAGAAGTGTATAAATTTGAGTAAAGATTTAAACATACTGTTTACACGAAGGATAAGAAGTAATTGGTAGCACCTCAGTGGTAATTATTACTCTGGAGTGATGTAAGTTGTTGAGTAACTAAGAGTGAAAAGGATTGACTATTTTTGAAAAAATTGGATGACTGGTGCGTCGGTGGCACAGCGGTAGAATGCTCCCCAGCTACGCATGTGGTCCGGGGTTCGATCCACGGGCACTGACGACGCACTCCTTTACCTGTCTAAACCAGTAATACGACTGGTAGGTAAACGGGGAAGGTGTGGGGGTGCATGAGGCTGGCTATCAACTCCATCCCGTAAAAATAATTACCACCGAAATAGAATAAATTAAATACTATCGAAACTTCCAGTCTCTAGCTTGAGGCCCTGTGTTCCACTTGGAAAAAAATCTTGTAAAACGTATGTTTAAATCTTTATTGTAATTTACACTTTTGGATTGTTCAAGTTGTAGCCAGTTGAAAAGGATTCGCGGAAAAATAAATAGATGTATTACTGTTCTAGACCTACTGCTTAACAAATATGTAGAAAGCAAATGCAGATGGATTGGTGGGCACACGTTGAGGAGGCCATCGTCGAATGACGTCGCATGCTAGGCCTTCGAGTGGAAAGTGAGCGTACCATGTAGGAGACCAGAGACTATGACCAATCGTGCGACAAGCCAAAGAAGACCACAGGGAATAGGAAAAAGTGAAGAAGTGCTGTTGAAGCCCTATGTTCCACTCGGAACCCAAGGGAACAATAATTAATAATAATTTTTTTTCCTTCATGTTCCCCAGTGGAACATAGGGCTCCAAGCTAGTGGCTTGAAGTTTCTGTAGCAGTGTTTATTTTACAGGATGGGGTTGCTAGTCCCATGTCCAACCTTTCCTCTTCACCAACATTACTTCTGGCTTAGCGAGGTAAAGGAGTGCGTCGGCCGAGGATCGAACCCCGGACCATGTGTATGGTCGTCGAGCGTCCTAACCGCTATGCCACCGGCGCACAATAATAATAATAATAATTGATATTCTGTATTCTCATATCAGCGTCCAATAGGTGATCAGACGAGTTAATAAAATTGTCTTCACCACGAGCAGTGATCACTTCAACCAACAACACTATCAATTGACCAGTGAGACTGATTTATCACATCAGTTCCAGTCTAATTAAATCAAATACTGCAGTCAATAGACGCAAGTCTAACGTTTGCAGTGATTATGGACCAGGTTTTCAATGTTGATTATAAATCAACGAGTAATAAAACTCAACTGATCACCACTCATCGAACATTCGAAAAATGCGATTTTCAAACATGTCAGAAACATTATTTATTTTATATTGTATATTTGATAAAATCAGGATTTTCATTACGATAATAAGACAGAGGTAGGGCAGTCTCATCACTTTTCCTTGTGATGTGAATTCATCACTGCCTCAGTCCAGCGACCTTTTAAATTGATTATTCAGCACTTTTGCTTAATTTTAGTACATAGCTGACTAACTGACAAGTGATTAATTGTCAGGTCTGATTTATTGTAAATGTTGCATGGATGAATACTACTCGTTGTTTTCAAATGATTATTGAGAGAGAGAGTGAGTGAGAGTTAATACAATTTCATCTTTTGCCTGAGTAGTGTTCATCATTCAAACAACTACTACACTAACTAACTAACACTAATCAGTGCAATTGTGTGATTACTGGTCGGTCAACTAGTAATCAGGTCAGTTTAGTCTTACTTGATAAAAAAATATTCAGTTAATGTGGACAATATAAGGTGGTGGAATACAAGCAATTCTAATGGCTTTTAGAAAAATTAAATAATAACTAATACCTGTTACCCGTTGCACACAAGAGGATGAATGGCACACTCGTCGTCCAAGTAAGTGGTCCAGTGGATGATAACACTTTAGTCTTTGTAACTATGGCTACTGGGTGGGTGGGTTCAAGCCTCCTCAGTGGAGGGAACACCATCACTCTCTGAGGAGGGATGCAGGTACAGTCAGTTGATGAGTCAGTCCCAAATAGGACGAAATGGTGTGTGTGTGGGTAGGTGGGTGGAGGTGGATGGGTTCCACTGCTAGTCACCATCATTCACCAAATTACTTAAAATTCTTAACCAAGTTTGGAAATACTAAAGTTGTTAGTAATTATGAACATGTGAATGCCTGAAATCTATTATCCTATGCTTTTATGCCATTAATCCAAGGTTATTGTTAAATGCATAAGATTTTCCATCATTGGCGACAATCAGGGGGAATCCCAAGGCCTAGGTGAAAGAAAACACATAGATAGTTAAGAACGCCGGTACTTCAGATGGGCAGTAATAAGTGTGTTCGGGACAATAAATACATCAATGCTATTATAAAGTGATTTTGTATCGCCTCATCTAAGATCTCCAACCACTGACCTTTATTAATGTCAAACGTTGACAGCGGCAACAGTAAAGACACGATAGGTTGTAGGTTAGATTACGAACTAACGTCAGTTGGAAGCCTATCGGAAACCAGTGTGTCAACTGTCCAAATCGGGCAAGATTCTGGACCTAGCTCTGCTGGCAGAAAACTAATCGCTGTCTCAGATTACTGTGTACGGTAACCAACTCGAAAATACCAGAAAACAGATCGGCGATTCGTGGATTGTTTATTTCTCCACTGAAAAATTTACCAGGACTACAGGGTTACTACAGCACATATCACAATATTTCTGATCGTGTTTTCTCCAGTCCTCTACCAAACCGCTTATGATTACGTCACAGCCCCCAATGTTTCCCGATCCCATCCCCGCACCGCGAAAATGGATATCTGTCCGAACAGACAAACCACATGTTGTTTATTCAATATTGACACAGAGATTCCGATCATCCGTCCCTCTGAGGGACTTTGACGAAACATCTGTCCAATACACTTTTTGGTTTTCACTGGCTCTTTCAACTGATATCGGTTTATAATGGAATTTAAGTGTGTATATCGTCTTGAAACCCCAAACTGGTCAGAATGTTAGCGTATATTATCAGATTGAATAAAGTCTCAATTATCAAAAAGAAAAATATTGTGTATACCTACACCTGTTTGTAAGCAGGCTATACTTTGAAAGAAAACAACAATCCATGGTGCTAAGAGTGTAATACTCTACCTTTAT